CAGGAATGCTGGAGCATCAGGATACAGCCCCCCTGGAGAGACTGGATGTAGTGAGACTGACTTGCTTGAGGGCAGAATTACACAGCAGCAGCTGCGCGGCTGCAGGAGCCAGGCTGGATGATACACAAGCTGGATACTCCACCTGTGATGGTGGAGTCTTGATGGTAACACTATAGAAAAAAAGCTCTTTGAGGAGGTACCTTGTATTGTTACCAGGTGAATTAACATACTTCTTATGGCTGCAGTTTCCCTCCCTGCAGCAGGACCATCCGAGGCTGCTGCAGTGGCACTTGCATGTAAATGGAGCTTCCTCTGTCACTAAACAGCCTCTGCTTTTTGTTTCACACCCAAATAAAGTGCCTTGTTAGGCAGTTGTGGCATCTTCCGTGCTCATTACTATGGAGATGGCCTTAAGGTGACAATGCCACTTGAGTGGAGAATGAAGAACTGTACCTGGGGGGAAAGAGCCTGTGTGGATGCACTGCCTGCTGCCTTCCCCTCCTGCTGGGGAACTCCACAGGGGGAAGAATGAAAGCAAACAGGAGCTAATGGTAACAGGATTAGGGCTCCACATTTCTTTGGAAATAATACTTCTGTGTGGCTAGAGGAGGAACATGAGAGGCAGACCCTGGGCAGGGAAGACAGTCCCAAGTCTGGCTTGAGAGATACAGGGAAGTAGAGGAGGAAAAGCTTTACTTTCCAAAACAAACTGATTTGATTGTTGTCAAATGGATCCCACGAAACTGGAGAATTAAACCAAGGAATCCAGTGGTTGTCTCCAGTGGGAACAGCCTTTTTTGAGGTGGGAGAAGACTTCAGTGAGGAAGGAAGCAGGGTTGTCAGTGGGCATAAAATGTTATATTCCATAGTCTGGAATATCCTCCAGGAAAGGGGAAAACTACCCATTCTGTGGGTAGGCAATTTATGGAAGGTTTCAGTGTCAGTTTTCAGTGCAGTGCCTGCTAATTAAAGGGTTGATGGGATCTGCTTTCAAAACGTTTGAAAAGCCACTTGTAATTTTTTTTTCCCTAAATGCTGCTGGAAACTGAATTTGGAGAAGTGTATGAAAAAGTCAACGTGAGCCTAGAACTACAGATGGCATGTGATGCACTGTTTCAAAATTCCTACTCTGTATTTGGTGATCAGGAAGTCAGTCAAAAGGAATGGACAGGGAGTACTTTTTGCCATTCTTACAGTCTTTTTTCTTGACTTTTTTTTCTTCATGGAATGATCTTTCCCATTTGACAGTGAGTGAGAACAAGGGGACTGTCAGTGTCATATACTTGAACATCCTGGTACAGGACTCAGGGTCACAGTGATGGTTTTGTGAGGCAGGATGATTCTGCCCTCTCCTAGAACATGACATTTGGACCAGAAAACATACAGGGGAAACTTCTAATTACAACTGCTCAGAAACTTTGGTTATTTCCATGGGAAAACAGTTTCTGTGGAAAGAAATTACCCACTCGAATTTCAGAGAGGAAAGAAAAACTGGAGCCTTTTTTTGCCATTGAACAGTTATTTTTCTTTTTTTCTTTTTTTTTAATAAAGAAGTCATTATAAATATGTACAAAGAGTCTCAGCATATGAAATTCCTTTTACAAAAGAGAGAAGCCACATCCAACCAGAAACAGGAGCCCCACGGGCTCCTACCAGCAGTGAGCTTTGCTCTTGCTTTGGTGAGGGTGGAAACTTGCCCAGTGACTCCACACGAGCTGACATCCCAACAGTCCTGAACCAGTGATGTGCAGGGAACTGGGGATTCCCTGCATCTCATCAGGTTTATTCTGTTAGCAGTGCATCTGGGAGGGGGCTGGGAAATGTCCTAAGGACTAAATATGATGGGAAGGTTTGTTTTGTTCTTGTCATGAACCGTAGTCTTCAGATGAACTGGAAGGGTGATGCTGTGAGTACCCACCAAAACGATACCCCACTGGAGTTGGATTTGCTCTCTACTTGGGTGGCATCTGCAATGAATGATGGATGTAACAAATCATGGCAGTTCAATACCCAGATGCTTTCTGTGAATATTTGTCAAGCTCCAAAGTCACTTTCTGCAACTATTAAAAAAACTTGTGAAATTCAAGTAGTCAAGTATTCCTGCAGAGTGAACACTGAAGAAATGTGATTGGAGTGACATGAAAATTCACTCGTGTTTTCAAATAAATATTGTCAAGAAAAAAAAAATCTTTCCACCTGTTTTGTATTTTGTAGTTTTAAATTTCTCTTGCAGATGGAGAATGGAAGTTGTGCAACTTTGACTGGAACACTCAGCTTCTTCCCACAACTGCCCAGGGCAGAGCTGTTGTCTGGAAGACCTAAGTCTGGGGGTGCCTTTGGGGTTTAAGCTGCTGGAGATCCCTGCTGTGCAGACAGTGCGTGTTGCAAGCCAGAGGGAAGAAGCACAGGGACGTCCCTGTGCTGGGAGCAAATTTGGAAGGGGAAGGACTTGCACCTTTGGACCAGGACAGAACTAGGAGCCCAAGGTAGGAGCAGCATGGAGGATTCCTCTCCTCCATTCAGACCAGCTGAGATGAGTGTTTTCCTAAGGAAGTTAAGTCCCATGTAGTTTAGGCTTCCCTAAACTTTGGGATTTCCAAGGAAGGTGGTCAGTGGCTCCTGACCTTTCTAGGAGATGAACACGTTCAGCTCAGCTTGAGCACACAGTGCCTTGCAAACTGGTCTACTAGACTGAGGCTGATTTTGAAGCCTCAACTCAAAATCAAATGAAAAGCTGTGAAGATGTTCACCTGTCATGGAGGTAGAATATAGCCAGGAGGTTTTGAGGTGCATACAGAAAAAAGTGGGTCCAGGATTGAATGTGGAGCCCTAGGTAGCTCATCATATACCTCAGATTTTTGTCAAGATCATGGACAGATGTCTTGAAACCATTTGTAGGAAAATTAAAATATTAAGGTAGATGGACCATTCTGTCCTCACCATGAGCCACATTGTACATGGCAGTGCAGGAAAGATCTCCCTCAGTTTTGCTTCCCCATTCTCCTCTGCCCCCCCTGCTGCAGGGAGAGAAGATGGAACCAAATTGTTTCATCTTGGGAGGCAGGAGGGAAAAGTGCCTGATGCTGAGATGTGTGTGTGGACATAGAATCCACATTTGTTTCCATTTCATTAAGAGGTGCTGCTTCTCCTTTTGCAGAGGAGGGAGGGCCCTTGTCATTTTAGCCTGATACAGAAACACAGCAAAATCACAAATCAGATTAAACTGATTTAAGAAGTGTTTCTGATTTAAGTAAATTGCTTTAGTAATGGGCTTAGCTAAATTAGGGCAATTTCTGCTTGCCTACGTGCTCTAAAACAGAGGCATGATGGGTTCCTCATTCCTCACCACTGACAACTCATTGATTTTGGTGATTTGCTGGATGTTTTTATTGGGTGCTGCCTCTCCTGGGCACATGAATGTGTAGAGAAGAGGGGGCCTTGCTGTTCCTATACAACACAGGAGGTAGAACTGGTCCCATCCCATATTCTTTTACCTACTGCAAATAATCCAAAGAGAGAAGAGGAAGTCATCTGGAATGAATGGGCTAAATTCTGTCCTGGGTACAACCCAGCTGTCTGCAACCAGACAGTGGTGCTGTCCTAGAATTCAATTTGCCCAAAGGACTTAATTTTAACAGGCGTGGAGGGAGCAGCTGATGAGTGGGGTCCACACCAGGCTGCTTTTTTAACTGGCAAGATGAAGTTCCAGTGGGTGGTGGGAGCTCTGGTGGTGAAGTGCTGCTTTAAAAATTAATAAAGACTTTTTCCTCCCAGCCACATTATGTGGGGTTGTGGGGAGACTATGATCTCATAACCTCCCCCTCTGCCTCGCACACGCACCGTCTGCTGAAACCTAAGATGAGCTCTTTGTTGTTGTTTCCCCCCCCCTTTTTGTTTCCATTTAGAGAGCACTCCCCTGCGAAGCTGATCCAAATCAATG